TTTGTCGAGAGACCACCTGCTCTCCCAATCACTCACAGTATTCATCACTCCACAAAAACATACCTCTCCCCCATCCCAAAGCCCCTTCTTATACTCTTCTCACAGCATAACTGACTCCTATAAATGCCTAGTTGTCCCAGTTATAAATGCCCAACCTCTTCTTATTCCTAACTGACATAGCTATAAATGCCTCAAGACTCTCCTTATTCCCTGCAGCTATAATTGCCCCCATGTGTTCAATTATTTCCCCCCCTTAGCCGACTGTTGGCCTTTCCTCTTCCTGGCATACGTAAAGTTAATTGGGGGCCTATCAGATACCTATTGGAAGATACATTCAGAGCTCCAACCCCCCCCCAATTCAATAATAATAATAATAATAATAATAATAATGACAGAAAGAGCGGGAATGGGAATGGGGGCAAGGCTAATGTAGCCACGACCTGTGATGTTGAGAAGGGCAATGTGATGAGAAGTCTATAGGGGTCTAGGGGAATAACTTGCAACCGCCAGGGCTGAATATGAGAAATATGGCTGAATCATCAGTCATCTAGAGCCTACTTCAACTTCTGCTCCACCCAGTAACAACTCTACATCTGCCTATGCTCACTCAGGTATTCGTGCTACTGCGAATCAGGTCTCTACTTTGGGTAATCGTAAGATCCCCTAGATAATATATTTTGATGCTTCTGACCATATGATTAGTGATTCCACTTTCTTCACTACTTACCAACTCTTATCTAGTCGTGACAAAATATCCCTTGTTGATGGTTCTCTTGCCCCCATCTCAGGCAAGGGGGACATCAGAACCTCAAACCTCTTTACTTTGAATGTATTTCATGTACCTAAACTTAACACCAGCCTACTTTCAATTAGTAATTTGACTAAATCTTTGGACTACAGTGTAACCTTCTTTCCTGCTTATTGTGTTTCAGGACATGAAATCTAAGAAGGTGATTAGGAGTGGCAATGAGGCAAATGGCATATATCTATTAGACATGCCTGAGTAGAGTCAAGTACTATCTCAGAAATCAGCTTTTGGATCTACAATTTCAAAGTCAGTTAGTCGTGTCATGTTATGTCATCATTGTTTGGGTCATTTGTCTTTTTCTCCTTTAAAGCCTTTGTTTCTTGCATTGTTTGAAGGAGTCGGTCTATCAAGTCTACATTGTGGGTTCTATGAAGCTTTTGTTTCTCGCATCATCAGTCATCTAGAGCCTACTTCAACTTCTGCTCCACCAAATAACAGCTCTATATCTGCCCATGCTCACTCAGGTATTTGTGATACTACGAATCATGTCTCTACCTAGGGAAATAGTAAGATCCCCTGGATAATAGATTCTAGTGCTTTTGACCATATGACTAGCGCTTCCACTTTATTCACTACTTACCAACTCTTATCTAGTCATGACACAATATCCCTTGCTGATGGTTCTCTTGCCCCCATCTTAGGCAAGGGGAGCATCAGAACCTCAGATTCCCTTACTTTAACTTTTGTGCTTCATGTACCTAAACTTAATACCAACCTACTTTTAGTTAGTAAGTTGACTAAATCTCTAAACTGCATTGTAACCTTCTTTCCTTCTTATTGTGTTTTTCAGGACATGAAATCTCATAAAGTGATTGGGAGTGGCCATAAGGCAAATGGCATATATCTATTAGATATGCCTGAGCAGAGTCGAGTACTACCTCAAAAATCAGCTTTTGGATCAACAATTTCAGAGTCAGTCAGTCGTGTCATGTTATTGCATCATTGTTTGGGTCATTTGTCTTTTTTCTCCTTCAAAGCTTTTGTTTCTTGCATTGTTTGAAGGAGTCAATCTTTCGAGTCTACATTGTGAGTCCTATGAGTTTTCAAAACATTGTAGAAACTCTTACCCAACAAGTAATAAAAGATCAATTTTTCCTTTTTAACATTGTTCACTCTGATGTCTGAGGGCCTTACTGTTTACCTTGCATGGGAGGCTATAAATATTTTATTCTATTCATTGATGACTTCTCTAACTACACTTGGCTATATCTTATGCTTTCACATAGTAAAGTGCCCAAACTTGTTCAAAAGCTTCATGAATTTGTGCTTACCCAATTTGGCACCTGGATCAAAATATTCCGATAAGACAATGCTAAGGAATGTTTTGAGAAGGATCTTACCTCATATTTTGAGAAGTTTGGAGTTGTTCACCAAAGCTCTTGTGGTCACACTTAGGAACAAAATGGGGTAGCAGAGATAAAGAATCGACACATTGTGGAAGTTGCTAAAATCATACTTTTTGCTTCCCATGTTCCTGTAAGGTTTTGGGGTGATGCAATGATGACAACTACGTATCTTAATAACTGTATGCCTTCAATTTTAGGGTTCAAATCTCCCTTCAGTGTTCTATTTCCACACCTTGAAGTTTTCTCCATTCCTTTGCGAGTCTTTGGGTGCACTTGCTAGGTTCATGTTCCTAATTCCCAAAGACATAAGTTTGAACCCAAATCCAAGAAGTGCATTTTTCTAGGGTATGCCTCCACACAAATGGGTTATTATTGCTTTGATAGTGGCACCCATTTTGTTTCTATGGATGTCACTTTTGCAGAGTCAACCCCTTTTTATAGCCATTCTTCTAAGGGAGAGACCTCTAGTAAGTTGTTTGCTTCTCCCCCACCTTTACCAGTTCTTGTTGACTCTTGTGTTGGTCCTCCTTCAGCTCCTTTGGTTCCTATAGTTGAATCTTCTGGTTCCTCCATTCCTGTACCTCCTCCGCTTCCTCCTAGTCCTCCTATGTTCACTACACCTGTTCTTCAGAGATGGTACCAATGGCAAAGACTAAGGCATGGACAACTTGTTCCCCCATCTTCAGGTGAGCCTCTAGAACTTCCAGTCACCAAAGAGAAGACAGGTCTTGTAGAACCACAACCAGTAGTACCCTCATTCCTAGACCTTGACCTACCCATTGCTATAAGAAAAGGTAAAAGCAAATGTACTATTCACTGCATTTCCAAACACCTCTCTTACGGTTTGTTGTCTCCTTCCTACTATTCCTTCTTAGCCTCCATTTCAGCCCAACATGTACCTAAAAATGTATCAGAAGCCTTATCTAAACCATAATGGAGGGATGCCATGAGAATTGAGATAGAAGCACTTCGTAAGAACAATACTTGGGATATTGTAAACTTGCCTGCTACCATAGTTGTCAAGGCGACGCCAAGGTGGGCGCCTACATACATCTAAGAATTTTTTTAATTTATTATTTTGATATTTTATTAGATGTTTTATTCTTTTAAAATAAAACCGGTTACATGCTATCATTTTATTATTAAGACAACAATACAAAGCCTTCATTTTTTGCTTTTTTTTCAAAAAAACAGGGGCTCCACCCCTATACTCCTCCCTTCCTCCACAGCTCCACTCATTCTTCCGCCCCTAATTGTTCTCAATCGCTAGTCCTAGTCTCAGTCCCTTTTGGCGGAGCCCCTATACTCCTCTCCGCCCCTGACTGTTCTCAATCGATAGTCTCAATCCCTTTTTTTTTTTTAAACATGGGCCTATACTCCTCCCTGCCCCTAATTCCCTATACTTCTTCTTCCTCTTCTTCTTCCGCCCCTATACTCTCCTCCCTTCCTAGTTCCTACACTTATTTTTTTTTCAGTTAATAGTTAGTGTACATGCTTGCTAGTTAGTGTATAGTTAGTGTACATGCTTGCTAGTTATATGAAATTTATACTCATTTGAATGATTTRTAGAGTTAATAGTTAGTGTACATGCTTGCTAGTTAGCACACAAAACCAATAAAATAGCTTAGAAAAGCATAGATAAAGTAAAAACTCAAGAAAATTAACATTTTAAAATTCCAATGCCTAGGCACCCTGTGGTCGCCTAGGCGGGTGCCTATGGGATTGATTATGGAGACCTTTTCTCTGGTGGCAAAGATCGCATCTGTGAGAGTTCTCTTGTCTTTAGAAACAAACTATGATTGGCCTCTGTACTAGTTTGGTGTCAAAAATGCCTTCCTGAATGGTGACTTGACAGAAGAAGTGTATATGTCCCTTCCCCCTAGAATGTATGGTAAGGAGATGCAAGGTAAGGTGTTTAAACTTTTCTCAAAAAAAATGTAAGGTGTGTAAACTGAAGAAATCTCTTTATGGATTTAAGCAATCTCCCCGTGCCTAGTTTGATAGATTCAGGACTGCACTTATTCAGTTTGGTTATACACAAACACAGTTAGATCACACTCTATTTGTGAAGAGGAGAGCTTCTCATGTTACCTTCTAAGGCCTCTTCAAGAAATCTAAGGCCCCAGAATAAAGAGTGCAAATTCAAAACGAGGGGCACTTTAGTCAAGAAAAATTCAAGAAATCTAAGGCCTCTTCATACTTTTATAATAGTATACATATAGTTTGTACCCTGATTCCTACTCTTATTATTATAAATTTTAAATTGCATATATTCTGTTTTAGTCCTACTTATCTTAAAACCTATCCAGTAACAAAGATCATGCAAAATGGACTTGATCACTGTGGCAATACAAAAGGATTAGTACACAGTATAATAATGAAAAGTTTCTATCCAATATATTTTTTTATCAATAGTTTCTATCCAATATTCTCTTATGTACCCCGGTTCGTGTTTGTTTGATACGTAAAAAAGTAATGATTATCAGAGCAAAAAGAGTATTTTTTGACACTTTTGTACTCTGAGAAGAGAGCATTACTGTACCTATTTTTTGGATACAATTTTGTATTCTTTTGATAATTAACTTTTTGACCAAAGGTAAGGCATTGGAGCATAAGATAGTTGGAGCATTTAATGATGGGCCCACACTTTTGCACCGATTTCAAACAAACAAGATGAATGCAAAAATGGTTTAAAATGTGAACCGTGTTTGTATTCATGAACTGAAAAATGGGTAAATATGTAGTGTACATATTTGCATTTGCATTGCAACCAAACGCAGCCTTAGTATCTATCCAAAAAACAAGTACATTAAGCAACATTGAAGAAAAAAAAAAGTATGACATACCCTTTTCATGTTAGCTTTTTGAAAACCAGATCTCCGAAATGACTCGTACCTACTCATCTGCTGCTCGGTAAATTGAGATAGGATTGCTCTAAAAGATGAGCACAAATGTTAATGCAATAACATCACAGCAGAAAAAAAAAAAAATATATATATATATATATATATATATATATATATATATATTTATGAGCATTCTTAACATATCAAACATAGGGGAAAAAAACGAAGCAACACACTCAACAGTGTTAGTTCAATTTATCTATTTAGATGACAATTGCTCTATGATACAAAAATAACTCACCTCTACCAATGTCTTTAAAACTTTGAGTCTGGAAAAATTGGTCAAGGTGAATAGAGAACATATCGGAAGAATAAAGGAGAAGATAAGTACAACCTCCCAAATTGAACAATTGAATGATAAGGAGAGCCAGGGTTCTTTAAGCAAGGAAGATAGGAAGCTAAGACGGAATCTAAAAAAGGAGTTGGAAGAATTATTGTTAAGCGAGAAGATTTGCTGAAGACAAAAATCTAGGCACTAGGGGTGCAACTTGAGCGGGCTCAAACCAAGCCCAAACCGACCCAGCCCAAAATTTTACACGGGCTGGGCTTGGATTTTCGGTCCTCTGGCTGGTCTTAGCCCCAAGAATTTGAGCTTTTTTAGTTTTCCAACTAGGCTCAGGCCTAGCCCTTAGGTAGCCCAAACCCGACCCAATTATAAACATTCATGCATACGTATATGTATACATATACATATATACAAACATATATGTATACATATTTGCATAAGTGCATACATGTATAATTTTAGAGTGGGTTCATTGACCAACCCGAGCCCAGCTCAGGCCCGAGCCTAACCCAAATACATCAAATTACAATGCAGGTTGGGCTCGGGTTGGGAAGAGCAGGCTTGACCTCGGGCTCAAGCCTTAAGCCCAAATTTTAGGATTGGGCCTAGGCTGACCATAAACCTGGCCCAACCCGCCCGACTTGAACCCCTACTAGGCACAAATGGATCAATGAGGAGGATGGTAACACTAAATTCTTCCACACAATTGCAAATGGCAAGAGAAGAAACAATTTTGTGCCAAAGCTGGAAGTGACCAATGAGTTGGTTTATAACCAAGAGGAGGTAGCTAAGATGTTTGTGGATCACTTAAAATCAGTTTTCAGGAGGCAAGAAGGTGATAGCATTAGTGTGAAAGGGTTGGAGTGACCAAATCTAGATGGTTAAGGGGCAAGCCTTGGAGAAGGATTTTGACTTGTAAAAAATTACTAGAGCAGTTTTCTCAATGGATAGATGCAAAGCTCAATTCCAGATGGATTCACCAAGGCCTTTTATCAAGATTGTTGGGAGATTATAAATTATGATTTTCATTTTTATCAGCAAAGGAGAACTTATTTATTTATTAAACTGAATGGCAGGTTACAATTTCTTTATCTGCTCTGCACTCCAGAGTATAGCAATATACAAAGAGACCCAGATTACATAGATCAGCATCCCTCTGTTGTAATACAGCCAGCTACAATTTAGCCCAAAATAGAGTAGGTCTATCAACTCCCTGTTTTGCTAGAGTATTTTCCAATCCATTCGCTATCCTTTTAACCCACCCAAAAGTGGAGTTAAATCTCTTAGCAAGAATGTCAATCCCTTTGAATGCAAATCTATGCTTCCATGGTGCTGAGCTTACTTGCTTAGCCCAAGAAATGACCAAAAGTAAGTCCCCTTCCACTTCTAATTGTTCTGCTAATTTCAGGCCTTGTAAGAGTGTCATTGTCTCTGCCTGAACCGAGTCTCCATACCCAATTGGTCCTGAGAACAAAGCCACAATTTCCCCATGATGATTTCAAAATACTCCCCTTATTTCTGCTCTCCTAAGGTTTCCAAGGGAGATACCATCAAAATTCAGCTTCAATTTATTTGGCTCTGGAGGTTTCCAATCCATTTTATTGATTTCTTTGTGTGTTCCCATCTATGCCACTTCCTTCCATTTCCTCAATATATCATTTGTTGAGATATCTTTGAATATATCAACAGTTTTTGCCCAGTGTGCAGATCTGATTTTAATTGTTTCAATTACTTCCACTTTAGATATGCTCTTCTCATTGAAAATCCTTTGATTTCTTTCTTCCCAAATGATCCAAACTACAGCTGCTCTTGTGACCTTCCATAAGCATTTTGCCCTTTTTTCTATAGCCGCATACAATTAGAACTGAATAAGCTAACCACATCTTGTGGGGGATCTCATTTGCAGCCAAAGAGTGAAGAAAAGTAATCCCAAATGCAAGACACAAAAGAGCATGAGATTAGTAATAAAGGGTCTCACCACTATCCAAACAGAGGATAAAAACATGAGGAGAGAGGCACTTAATTGGCCTTCTTTTCTTTAGCAAGTCACGAGTATTAACCTTTCCAAAGAACACTTTGGCTTACACCAAATTTGTTTTACTGGGAAACTCTCCCCCAATGGTTCTGAATAGGTAAGGATGTTGAAGAAGGAGGCACAAGAGAAAAGATCATCCGGGGAGACCAAACTCTACTATCCACGGAATTTTGATATAAGAAGACATGCTCCAATTTTGAAAGCAGAACTAGGGTTTCACATTCATTGTCCCTCAAACCCCTTCTAAAGCCAAAGTTCCAGTTCAAACCAAGCTCTAAGAGTAAGCCAAACATGGCAACAGGCTTGGCCTTATAGTTTGACAAATAATATAGGGAGTTGTTGTTTAAGGGGTGATTCCTCCAACCAAAGGTCTTCCCAAAAAAGGACTTTGTTTCCACACCCCACATCACAACAGATAAAATTAAGGAAAGAAGGAAGTACCTCAAAGATTGCTTACCAAGGGAAATTTGAAGTTGCCTGAGGTGTTAGTATTGCATCCCAGCCATTGTTCGCTACACCATGGATGCTTCCAATAACCTTGTGCCACAACCTTTCACCTTCTAGGGAAAATCTCCAAAGCCATTTTCCTAAGAAAGTTGTATTCCTCTTGACCAGATTCCCTATGCCAAGTCCTCCTTGGTCCTTGCCTTTACATATTTGTTCCCACTTTATCAGATGATCTTTCTTTTCATCTCCCAGCTCTCATAAGAAATCTCTCATTATTTGTTCCAATTGCCTTGCAATTTTTACCGAGATTCTAAAGGTGGACAGGTAATAGGTGGGTAGGTTGGCCAGAGTGGATCCAAAAATTGTCCGCTCTTGGGTTTCCCCCCAAAGGCATTCCAAGATAATCTAGGGGCCAATTTTTTACCTCATAACCTAGTACTCCCGCAAGCAAGCTTCTTCCTCTCCCAAGTTTACTTCTGCCACACAACTCTTTTCCCAATTGACTTTTAAACTTGAGACTCCCTGAAAATGATCAACTAAGACCTTCAAATTTCTTAAGCTGGATTTCGAGTAGTCCTCACAAAATATGATTATGTCATCCACAAATTGCAAATGGGTCACCACAACCTGATTTCTTCCCACCCTTCAACCCCTAATCTAGTTTTTTAGATCAGCCTTTATAACTAGCCTACTTAACACCTCTACAACAAGGGAAAAAAGGAAGGGGGAGATGGGATCTCCTTGCCTTAGTCTTCTTTTTGCTAGGAAAAAATCTTTTGCCACACCATTGATCAGTATTGAGACATGAGCATAACTGACACAACCTTTGATCCACTTTCTCCATCTTCCACCCAACTTTTTCCAATAACCCTAGAAGAAAGGACCAATCCACTATATCATAGGCTTTTCTACATCTAATTTACAAATTAAGCCTTTGCCTCATTTTTTCTTTTATGCCACACATTTATTTGCCATAAGAATCTGGTCAATTATTTCTCTCCCTTCCACAACAGCTCCCTGATTTTGGGGAATTACTTGGAGCAAGATACTCTTAAATCGTCTTGCTAGGACTTTAGCAATGATTTTGTACAAGCTACCCACCAGGCTTATTGGCCTATAATCCTTTGGAGATTTGGTATCTTTTTTCTTGGGCACTAGGCAATGAAGGTTGCATTTGCTCCTGGTGAAATCTTCCCTTTGGAGATTTGGGAGGTCTTTAAGGAGTTTGTTGAAAAACACTTTATTAGTTCAGGTATTAACGCTACATTTCTAGTTTTGATACCCAAAAACGTAGAAGCTCCTCAACCAAAAGATTTCAAACCCATCAGTTTGGTGACTAGCATTCATAAGATAGTGGCCAAAGCGTTAGGCTAAAAACTACCCTCCCAGCTATCATTAGTCAATCCCAAGGGGCATTCGTTCAAGATAAGCAGCTTATTGATCAAATCTTGATAGCCAATGAATGTGTGAAGGATTTAAAGATGAGGAAGGAAGGTTAAATATGCAAATTGGACCTTGAAAAGGCCTATAATTTGGCATACCGGTCTTTCTTATTGGAGATAATTAGAAGATATGGATTTGGAGAAAGTTGGTGTAGTAAGGATTGAGGGGTGTTTAAAAACTTGTCATTACTTGACGATGATCAATGGTGTGGTTAGGGATTTCTTTCCAATAAGTAGCGGGTTGAGACAAGGAGGCCCACTTTAACCCTTACTATTTACTTTGGTACTGGATGTGTTTGGTATATTAATTTTGAGAGCCGAATAGCTGATAGGACAGATCTGTTTAGAGGCTGGTGGATTGGAAGAATGATACAACAGTAACCATCCACAATTTTCTGATGACATAATTATCTTTTGTGAAGGTGGTGATCCCCAAAAGGCAAGAAACTTAAAATGGGTGGTGAGGTCATTTGAGCATATCTCAAAACTGAAAATCCATTTTGAGAAAAGTTGTGTAGCTGGGATTAACCTTAGTGAGGAGAAGATAGAACTAATAGCTGAATCCTTAGGTTGTCCTACAACTTCCTAGCCTCTAAGATATCTTGGATAATCCTCAAGAAAGTAGGTTTTGGAGTCCAATTGTAGAAAGATGTGCACAAAAATTGGCTGCTTGAAAAAGAAATTATACCTCTTTGGGACATAAAATAACCCTAATAAAACCCAACTTAGCAAACCTGCCAATTTATTATATGTTAGCCTTTAGGATTCCACAAAGGGAGGTGCTGAAATTAGAAAGGAACATGAGGGATTTCTTATGG